ACCTCGAAGAAAGTCATTATAGGCTAGTTGGTGAAAGATGTTGCTATAAATACCATTTGGTACCCGGGATGAATGGGCTGCGGGAAAACAATACAAAATACACATGCTTGACCATTGAGCTGGATAGAAATAGAATAGGCAAGTCTGGGAGAAAAAATGATCAGCCAGGCATATCCAAATAAACGTGTATTGCCAGTTCTATCCTCACTGAAGGTGTAACTATCTGTTGGTCGGTACGGGTTTATGAATAGGCCTATACGACAATTTAAAACATCTGACATTTGAGGTGTTGAATGAAAGCATACACCCAAATCACATTCATTGATTGCCATATTATCAAAGCCAAAACTATGTGTTGATATTTCAGTTTCGCTGTAAAATTTGAGTAATGCCGCTAGTAATGACTCGCAACTCCGAGAACCACTGGCAGCAGCTTCAAATTCCTGCAAGTGAGAAATGGTCAGGCTACTACTTTTAGATTTTCTTCAACTCGTTAAGACAAGGATCTTTAAGCATAATTAAAAATATTAATACAGTGTGCCCACTATAAAATAAATAAATCATTTCGCTAATGCAAGAGTTCGAATGTAACGAGGTCGCGCGGTCATGGCATGGTTCACAATATTTTAGTTCTAGTTATAGCCTGCCAAACATTGGCGACGGTAGGCTAAACTTCTCATCTACTAAAGTTACTTGACAAACATGAACTAGGATTGCACATTTATGAATTCCATTTTTTTTTCACGCCAATGAACGATATTAAATATTCTGATGTCACAAATACTATTAAACTGAAAATATTTTTTATACCACACTTAAATTGAGACGATTTCATTTATCGAAAAATATTACGCACCAAACGAAGTTGCGTTATTAAAAAATATATAAATAATTTAGCGTTAATAGTGTTATCGGGAATTATATTTTGCGCGCTCGTGAACTCATAGCCTGAGTGGTGGTGGTGGAGTTTGACCTATGCTGGCGAATTACAAATTTCCTCATCCTCATGTCCCTTAGTCCTTGGGGCGCCACAGATGACATGTGAACCATCCTCCTCCATTTCTCTCTGTCTTCAGCACTACACACTTCATCGCCCAGTGTTAGTCCTGTCCGCTCTTTGATGTTATCCTCCCACCTTTTTCTTTATCTTCCTCTTCTTCTCCCTCCTCTTGTCAGTGATTTTAAATGAAAAAAAGAGTTGATAAATATTATAAATATAGGCTATATTATTATTAATATTATGCTTGTTCAACTTCAACACAAATCCACTCAAATTAATTAAGTAAACAATATGACCACAAATTAGGCCTACATTTCTAACAAATCACCAAAATAATAATTATTAGGCTTATATATTATAATCTTTAAAAAAAAATGTTAAAAAAATCCTCGTCTAGCTTTGGTATTCATTAGTAATTGTTGCTCACCGAAAATTGTTTTTTTTAAACGCTTTTCTCGCCTTTAGTGCTTGTGACGCATGTTATGGTAACTGTGAGTGTTGTCATAGCTATAATAATATGTCTTAAGTGTACCGGTACGTGCATTTTCGTTTTAGCAGTCCATACGAGAACTTGGTGAAAGGTTGTGCTTTACTCTTCTACTTATATTGCGATCTGCGCTGCTCATGTGTTTGATTCATTGTTCAACCTGATATATTTGTTCTTGATTAAAGTTTACATTGCTAATAGACCATTGGGAAAGGAAAGTAGGCTACTCAATTCGGTGTGGTCACGACGCATGCACGTGTAGCCTACATACAAGAATTTGATGAAAGAAACCAATCTTAAGTAGGCCATCGGATCGGTGACAATCCTCACACCTTTTTTCAAAGTAAAAGAATTAATTGCAATGAATATTTAAGAACCCGTGACCCAGTTGTTTCACGACATTTACGTACACAAATTAGTGTGCATTAGCAGGATTTCATTTTATATTTTTGTATTATGTCTAACATATAGTCCTATATTATTTTATAACTCAGTGGAGGCGATGGCATACATCGGAATTGAATGGTGTGGCCTGATAGGATGCCACTTGCATAATTATTATCCTAACACACACCCCCACTCCCCTCATGTTTATGTTTAACAATTTTCTCCTCAATTTGAATGTCTATGAACTGTTTTTTGAAACTACAATACAAATAGGCTACTGTGAAAAGAAGAAACAAATTCAATTAAATTCTACAAAGTATTTATTTCTTAATGAATTATTTTTAGGTAAAAAACAAATTAAAATATATCAATCACAGGCAAATCGATCATTTTTGTTGTAAATCCTGAAGTGGTCACAATTTTTTCCCCCTTTGGATAATATAAAAGTTTTGATAAAACCACAGTTGTCAGACTTTGAGGTAAAATGGTAAATTTTATTAAAAAAATATATATTTAGCCCAAAATAACAATATCCATAGTGTTTTTCCACCTTCTTATATCATGTCACATGTAAGGTAATAATTGCTAATTCTATGTGACTAACCACAGAAGTACATATTTGTATTGGCTATTTGGTGAGGATCAGCTTCCAAGTGGTTATTATTATTATTATGTAAAATTAAAAACTCCACTAGGAATTATCAAGTCAAAATAGGGAAGGGGGTTGGACAAGGGCCCCCATCCAATATAATCATCAATATTAATATCCGTTGCAATTTTAAAAAAAATTAAATATGAAAATAAGTATATAATAATATAAAAAAATGACAGGGAAGATAAAATTGGCCCTTATTTATCAATTGGTGACATCAAAATTTTCTCCAGCTGAATGTCTCAAAAACAAAGGAAATGGTTGTTGATTTCAGGAGGGGGAAACACCAGATTACAGATCTCAACATAAAAAACAAAGTGTAGTGACTTAAGTGTCACCATTAATAATAAGCTAACATGGCATGAGCACAGCAAAAGGCTGTATAAGAAATTCAACCAAAGACTGTTCTAACTCAAACAACTGTACAATTTTGGCGTAAACAAACAAGTTGTTAACTTATTCTACAGTGCAACATTAGGAAGCCTACTTAATTTCAGTATTACCTGCTGGTGTGGGAATTCAACGTCTGATATTAAACACAGCATAAACTGACTAATCAAGAAAGCTAGGAACGTAACACAAACTAAACATCCTTCACTAGAAGAACTATTTGAAGAAAGATGTTATTGTAAAACTAAACACATTTTGGATGATACATCCCACCCTCTTCATCACAGATATTTGGGATCTGCCCATTTGGGACAAATTCTTTCCGTCAGGGCGAGAACTAAAAGATATAAAAATTCTTTTGCTCCCCAATCTGTACAAATTTACCAGTGCGCTCCCCCTGATATCACAAATGAGAACTAATAAGTCATTGATACGGCTAAGAGAATTCCTTGAATGGCAGTTGTTTTTCACTAGTGAAATAATTTTATACAAATGTCTTGTGTTCATATTGTTTTATTTATGATTTATGTGCTGAAAATGTACAATACAATCAAAAAACATTTCCATTTGTTTGGATCAATAAAAGAATCTTATCATAACTTATCTTATTTCAATATTAGGTATGCCTAAATTCATTTCTAAAACCTTTGGCTTCTGGTGTGTCCTGCTTCTTTTTCAAAACCGCCCTTTCCAACTCCACATGCTTTATATTAATAGTACTGAGTGAAAACAAAAGGCTGTCATGTGTGATATATGAACTCAGGTAAATTTTGGGGAAGGTAACAATTATATTAATAAATAAAGAGCCATGGGTATGGTGTAGGACTGTCTGTAGGACTATTGTTTAAAAGTCGGCAGGTAGGGTGTAGGACTATTTCTCAAAATACTGTAAAAAAACTGTACCTGGTTAAGCCAAATTTTATAACATTTTAACAGTAACACAATATGAAAAAGAAATGGACTTATGAAATTTAATTTTTGCTCGAAAGCAGCAAAATTATTTCATTTTATGATATGGGCATTATGTTAAGCTAAATTCTTTTTCTGTAAATCAATGAGATGTTAAAATGAGACATTTCTAACATTGAATATTTCCATTCTAATCAACTTGTTTTCTCATCCTTTAATTTACTTTTTTAATTTAGTTTTTAGTATTTCTTCCTTAAAAGTTATTATGCATAATGTATGTCACACCTGAAGCTGAATTCTAAAAATAATCAATATAACACAGCTTTTCAATCCTTTTTACCATGCAACACATTAAAATTTAGTTTTTTATTTTATCACAGGTACAAACAATCTTTATATTATTATTATTATTATAAGTCGTTTCATATAAAGTAGTACCCCAGCCTAGGGCTGGGCTCACCAAACATAATCAAAAACTTTAAAAATTAATTAATTAACATCCATTAATTAATTAAAATAAAACAAATATATTTAAAATTATTTACATGTCAAGCCATGGATGACACACAGCAGCATTGTTTTTCGGTCAGAGGTGGGAATCAGTCAGGATAGTAGAGTTTAAAAAGATATGTTTTTAGTGCAGTTTTGAAGGCTTTGAGGGTCAGTATATTGTGGATATGTAATGGAAGAGAATTCATAGAGAATGGAAGAGAATATATTGCAGCAGAAACCGTGAAGAGGAGCATCCAAGAAAATGATACGTTTAAATTCCATGATTGGATATAAAATGGCCAAGAAAAACAATTTTGTTAATAATTTTTATCCTTAAATCACAATCTTTATACACTGTAAAACTTTTATGACACACCAGTTATATCAAACAAAGAGTGTTGAAAAGAATCTCAGTTGAAGTGATAAGTTACAAATTTCATGATACAGTGATTTAAATATAACAATTATAGTGTTATAACTATCTTCAAAACTATAGTATCTTTTTTCAAGACACCAAGATATTGGAATGAAATAGATAACTTATATTTCCCTTTGAAAAATATATTTATGATATCTATTTCTTTAATAAATAAAATGTAAAAAAATGAATACAAAATATATTTTATAATTACCAGCATTTGTATAAAGCAACAGTTAAACATTAATGTTAAAAATTATTTTATAGCATTTTTAACAGTTGTAAATAAATATACAAACAGGAAGACCATGCGAATTATTTCTAGTTTCTAGTAACTTGTTGAGAATTATTTTAAGAAAAGTAAAAAACTTCTTCATGAAACTAGATCAAGTATCATAAGTGTTTTCATCAATCTATTTATTAAGCATCAGTCTCTTGAAGATTGTGATCGTGTGGTCCATCAGGGATCCCTTGTCTGAGTTCTATTTGTGTCCCACTTTGAACAGCCTCCTTGATCTTTTGGAGATCACTCATCACCAATTCCAACCTGTGGCAAAATATAACAGTTCTTTTAAGCCTAATAAGTACATTTGGATTGTCATAACAGCATTCAAATGCATTTAGAGCATTGGGTGGGAAATGAATGAATCATGACATCAAAGTATAAGAAATCTATTAACCAACCTGTCTGATGTTGATGCCACTCTAAAGTCCAAGAGTTCTCTCTCTTTTACAGATGACTGGGCCAGGTGGGCATCCACTGCAGACTTCTCAAATAATCTCAGCCTTTGGTTAGCATCATGGGTAAGTGTCACTCCTAAGAGGAAAAAAACAGAATTATAAATTAGATAATAATAAAATTATTTAATCATATGTGGTAATAGAGCATTAAATAATGATTGTATTCTGTTAAATTTTCATTTACTGTAAAGATTCTGTTTTTATGACATCAATTAATGAGCTTGTTTGCTCTGTGGTACAATGGTTGCATTGAAGAAAGTCAGTGTGGGATTAGAAAGCAGCAGTCTGTGCAAAATTAACCGCAGTCTTAAATTTTAAGTTCCAACTTCTGGAATAAACCCAGAATGTCAAAAGTTGAGTTCAAATAAATTCTGTAATTTTAAAAACAATATCCTCACTAAGGAAAATTAAAATATAAAGTCTAAATTTCATAGTCATAATATTTCAGAAAAATTCAGTGAATAAAATATAAACTTTATGTACATTACCAAATTTGACATGAGTCCCAACATTCAAACCAGGAATGAAGCTCCTTATCATTCTCCAAATCAGGTTGATTATGATGATGGGCGGAACCAATGATGGACGATCAAAATACTCATACACAAGAGAGATGCGATAAAAACGCCAGACTTTTGTCGAGTTTTCTTGTACTTTTTGGAAAGTGTAACTGATATATTTTTACAGGAGAGAAACCAATAAAATAAAATTCTTTGGGAACTCAAGAAGATTTATTTTAAAATGAATAATAATTTAGTACCTTTTAAAAGTCCTATTTTAATGATCCCTAATCAGTAAATTATAATATGATTCTCGCATTTATACTTTGTTCAATTCAAATTAAAACTTACTTTTCTAAGTTAAATGTATTTTTTATTTGTATTAATTTAAAAAATAAAAATTAAATTAAAAAATATGTATGGTTAAAATGTACCTGAACATGGCAATAAGGAGATTAATTAGTAAGATGTTTGTTAGCACCAAGTAAACTGCTAAGAAGATGTACACAATGGCATTTTTTTCAGGGCATCGTTGTGATGGGTCTTCTAACCAAATTGTTTGATTTTTAGTACATCCATCACCATCTGCTATCTTTCCTAAAGATTGAAGAGGACCAAGACCTATAAGTTAAACCCTCTTGTAAAAGAACATGTTGATTTGAGTGAAAAAAAATTGTATAAATGATGTATACTACATAATATCATTAATTTAAAAACTTAGAATACAATAATTTCTGACAACCACATTATAGCCTCTATCTCTTATATATGTTGCTGCTGGTGTATCCTGCTTCCTTTTCACTAACGCCATCCGTTCCCCTACTCAACATGTTTTATATTAATAGTACTTAGTAAAAAAAAAATTGTAATTTTTCTTTATTATATTTATCAATAAAGAGCCAAAGGTAAAATGCAGGATTGTCTGTAGGCCAACTATTTAAACGCCAGCAGGTGGGGTGTAGGACTATGCCTAGGCCTATTTTTTAAAGGCTGGCATGTGTTAAAGAAATTGAGTGGTTAACTCATTTTAGTAAAAGTTGGTGCCACTGGTGTAAAAAAAAAATGCACCCAGTTAAGCCCTAGTTTGATATATTTTGCAAAATTTGTTTAATTTCAATTTATTTTGACAAATTTTGGTTAGCTTTATTAATAAATATGTTACTAAGAAACTATATTTGCTAAATTGAATTAAGTTTTGTGGATTTTGGATACTTGTTATATTATAATCCCAAGTAATCAATTTGTTTTTCAGTTGTAAAATAATTTTTTTACTAAATCATAATAGCATAGTCATAGTAAATTAAAACTAAAACACTTTTAGTAGCAACATTCTACAGTTGCAATTAGAGGGAATATGACAATTTTTTTAACACTGGTTTTATTTCTATTGCAGATTCTTCAAAACTTGAAAAAAACATAATTAAGATTAATTACAACATAAATAAATAGATCATTATAAATTTTAAACATACAAGATAAATAATAATATTTAAATAGTAAAAACAATAATTTAAGATTATATGATTAGGAGTTTATTTTTTACCCCCAAGTTCATCCAAAAAAAGCTCTCCATAGATTTGGAAGTATGGGTACAAGAAGACTGTGTAAAGAATTGACCAACTCAAGGGTTGATTTGGAAACATGTTGATGTGATAGGCAACACCAAAGCCCAACACAAACACCAAAAGGATGAAGAAGAAAAATGACAAATCTGTCAACTGTGAAGAAAAAATGTTATTATTTATTACTTTACATTAAATAATGTAAATTCTGTGACTGAACATATGTTGCAGGAACAGATTTATTCATATTTTATTGCTGAGGCAATTTTTGCTTACCAATTATGAGATGTTTGGGAGTGAAACAAAATATTATTTTTAGCTTTGACGTTAAGCAATTATTGCACTCAGAATTAACAAAAAAAATAAAGGAATTTAAGTCTCATTTATATCAGTTAATTAATGACTTCCTGGAGATTTTCCAAGTCTTCTCCAAATATTGAACAAAATTCTAAAATTCCAAACCTAAAAACCCTTGATGACTGTTAATACAAACATAACATGTAAGGGACTGCTTTCAAGCTGTGTGAAGGAAATAGTAGAACGAGATATGTGAAAGCTTCAAAATAAAGAACAGGACAATCAAATGAATATTTTGGCTAACAGCCTTACATCAGCAGAGAAAACAACAAGAAAAATCAGAGAATGAGAAAATTGTAGACTTAACTTTAGTGATAAATGATATATCATAAGCTCTTGTGATCACTGTAAATTATTCTTAAAAATATAATGTTTTATGTAGTGTAAAGAATAATACCAAAGATTGTTTAGTGAACATAAACATAACCTGGTATTGTAAAATCTTCAACACACCAAATATTAAATACATTCCATACCCCAACCAACCACAGTTATAACTAGCAAAACAGAAAAAGAAATTCAGTTGCATATCACAATTCCAATGGTCTAATGCATTCCCCAAATTTTGAAAATTTTTTGGAAAAAAATTGACCAGTATCCTATCTATGTTGTAATATTTAAAAAAATCAAACACAAAATTAGGCAGATGACTAAAGTAGTGTGGCAAATTGTTCTGGTGTAAAGAACATCTTGGATGGTTAACAAGATAAAATATGCTGTTAAAAATCTAAGAGTCTTACCATCCTTCTAATCATAATAACTTTTGGCCCCATGTCTGGCTGTGCAAAGTAGAACTGCATAAATCTCAAGTAGGTCAAAACTAGTGTGATGGAATACACAACCCGTGTATACACAAATTTGTCCATTTCAAGTTGATAGCGCATAATAATGGAGATGACCAGGCATATGAAGGTAAGTAGATCAAAACGGTTCCAAAAATCATCAAACCAACTTGACAATTTGTACGTGATGGAGCGCTGATGTGTACTTGTTACCTGACATATTGACAAAAACATATTGTACTAGTATTTCCCAAATGTTTAAATCAATTACATTCAATAAAGTAGGTCAGCATAAAACCAAATTTCATTAATCATTAGATTAATGAGATGCAAAACATTTTGTGTAAATAAATCAGTATATGTAAGCTTTAATTATTTGAAAACAAAACTGTTAAATTTTTGGCCAATGTCTTCATTAGTACAACTTCTTCTTCAGTCTGCTTTTACCTGATGAATTCTTGCAAGGTTTGAGGCCTGCTGGAGATTCATGTTATGGATTTTTTGGGTGTTCTTAGCACAATTAATCCACTGATGGTGTGGTCTTTCTCTGGCCCTTAGCCATAGGGCCTGCAATTGTACACTTGTAATTCAGGATGGCTGACAGGTATTCTGACCAATTGGACAAACCATTAGTTTGTTGTTGGGCAATTTGTTGGCTGACTGGCTTAGGACCAACCATTTGTCTTAGTTCTAGGTTTGAAATGCGGTCCCTTCTTGTTTTACCAGCTGCTGGTCTTAAACATGTAATCTGGCATGTTAAATACTTTATTTAGAGCCAAAATTTGAAACTGGTCAGTAAATACCAGGAATAAAGCCAGCTTTAATTAGGCTTGCTTTGCCCTCCATTTTTATTTTTGGGTGTCTTAGTAGTAGTACCAGGGCAATTTGGTAGCTGACTGCATTTGCCCCCTACATTCTTGTCTCTTTCTCTCAATCCATTTTTCTATGCTCTGTGAAAATACTTCCCATATATTTTAATTCCTGGCTTTGAAGCAGGAGCTGACCGTCAATAATTATGTCCACTTTTTCTGGGCTTCAGCCTACTGAACTAAGTCTTAGCTTTGCTAATTTTCATTCCATAAAGATGGCAGGTACTTTTAAGGATATCAAGGGTATAGAAGAGTGTCCTGATGTTATAGAGGAGCTGTACTTTTAATCTGTACATTTCCAGCCCCTCCCACAGCGTATTTCTGTACATATTGTTAAAAGCTTTTTCTTGATCGACAAATACCAGACGAATCTGTTGTTGATATTCACAAACTTTGTCACACATTTGGCAGAGTGTAAAGACTTTTCTAAAGCCAAATTTGGCTTTTCTAAGAAGTGGTTCAATTTTAGTTTGTATTCACTTCTCCAAAATCTTCACAATTTTGTACATCAGAGTAGCTAATACCATTCACATTAATTAAAATTTACATAATATCTTGATATATAGATTATCATTCTTTAATCTCCATCTTCTCTGAAAAATACTTCAGTTGACAGTGCTTCATTTATTGAGGAATTGAAAAAATATTACATGGTAATAGTTAATTATTGTATTCTCAGTTCATTACTCAAACAATACCTGACGGATTTCCTCCAGAAACATTGTGGCAAACCAGGCCCATACAATATATTCAATAACTGATGGAGAGTTTGGTTCACCCACTGGCTGGATATTGGTCAGAAGAAAGTAGCTGAACAGACCCAACAAGATTATGTAAGCCATCTGTCAAAAACAATTCCAGAAAAAAATGTTAAAAGTTGCTCATAATAATATGGAATTGGAAGGATTTTTGCCAGTTAGCGTGGACAAAAATTTGCCAATTTAAGTCAACCCCAATAAATCTAATAAAGTCACTAAGAGAAATTTGCTAGACCCAGTTAATCTGTCACACCATAGGAACTGTATTGCAGTTTTTAATCATGTCTATCAACTTTAAATATCTTGAAACTAAACACCATTAGAAATATGATCAGTGGCAAAGGCGGAGACTGACAGCACTTTTTTCTTCATAGTGAGGGGAGACATTTTCAATCACATTAAGAGTTTTTTAAATTTTTTTATGAAAGGGAGGCAGCAAAAAGCTTGGCCCACCATGGGTGGTATTAACATTAGCTGTGCCATTGAGCATAGTATCTTTGTCTATTTGTCTTCTTTGTTTTTTTTCTTGGAAGCAGTATGCAATTTGCTTAAGTTTGGTGGTGGTGTAGCCATAGACTTTAAATATCTCACTTTTTTAGTGAGGGGGTGGTGGAAAAAACGTGCCACTATATGGAGCTAGGAATGTGTTGTTATGTGCCATTATATGGAGCTAGGAATGCGTTGGTGTAGAAATACAATTGGTAATAAGGCAGAGTGACCCCCCAAAAAATAGCAATAACATTAAAATGAAAAAAGGTGTTTCTTTCTTCAAATATACTAGTAGCAAGTTTAACAATTACGTATTAAGCAATCACATCCCAATACATCCGAAGCAAATCCCCACCCCTTCAAAACAAAACAAAAAGACAAAAAAAAAAAAAACATGAACTGCAAAAATAAAATCCTTGTCAATAATGAGACTATGCATTTTCACTTTTAGTTATTTTTATGTTCCAATTTATAATGGAGTTTATTAAAATTTTCAGCAACATTTTATGAATGATCATCAACTTTCATTTATAACAAGAAAATAATAAAATCTCATAAAACCATTTAACAGAGCTTTTCAATTTATTTAATTCAACAAATATAAAAGAAACTCACTATATTGGTTGTAAATTTTGTCACCGGGGCTGAATAAAACTTATACAGGGCCCTAAAAACATTAAGTCTGTTCTCTCCAGAACAGCCGACCTTGACTTCTTTCAGCTTTGTGAACTTTGATAATTCTTTAAGAGGTTTCTTGGAACTTGGCAAGCATGTTGATCCAACAGCCTCAACTTGATTTGATTTTGCAGACTTGTGGTCAGGTACATTGAACTTCATGAACATAATAAGGAAAGGCAGGACACTGGTCAAGAGAATCTGTTAACAAGAATTTCATTTGTTGAAGGAAAAATGCTAAAAGAGATGTGCTTTGTCCATACAGAAAAATTTATCAGTAGTCTTTATTTTCAGGACAAGGAATAAATTAAAAGAATTTGTTGCAATGTAGGGAGGGGGGGGGACTGAAGAAATAACCACAGTATCCCATCCAAAGCAATAGAAATAAATTTTAAATATTTTTGGAGGTTTTTCAATTCTTAAAAATATGGTCCATTGTCAATTTAACTAAAGCATTTTTTTAATACTTTAGCTATAGCAATTATCAAACTTTATTGGGATTTGGGTTGCAGAAAAATTATTGTGGTTGATCTAATTTGTGAACGAATTTTATTATTATTAAAAGAATAAACTTCTAAAACCTATATTTTTTGCCTTAAAATACATTAAAAATAATAAATGAATGGAAGTTTTTTTTGTATGAGTTGACAAGTATGGTAATTCTTTACTTTAAATGGGCAACTAGTATGATTATTAGAGTTTGTACCTCATCAAAGTAAATATAATAATACATAACTAATGACTAGGTTACTCATAACAGTGAAATCTGGGTTTGAGATATCCCTTTTCCATATACTGTGAGAAGTCAATAATAAATGAAAAAATTATCCAAAGAGATGACAAGTGATATTTACTTTGATTTGGATACAGGTTCTAGTATTTCTTTACCATTAATTGTGAAGTCCGTGGGGAGATATCACTTTTCCATATACTTGTTAGTTTGGTTTGACAAGCTGGATGCTCAGCAAAGTCCATCAGTTGTTGCCTCTCTGCTAACACCAGAATAGGAATATTTCCCAACTGCTTCATGTCACGGTACAGCAGAGTGTGAGCATCAAGTTTGCTTCGCATGTAGCACTCATTTAGAACAGAGATAGCAAAGTTCTCTAATATTCTGAGAAATATAAAATTTCGATATCAGAAATTTTAAAGGAAGTTTTTATAACACATGATTTGAAAATATTCTAGGCAAATGATACAATCTTTTTCAAGTTGATGTCATTTATTTATGTGAGTATGTGTATTTTGAGGATAAAACAAAACTTTTCTTACTGTGAATGAACCAGAAAGCTGTTACTGAGGGCAGTTTCCTCATAAGACTCAGCTTTAACTGACAGAGCCTTTAGAAGGGAGCATCCCAACAATGATGTGCCTGGTTTTAAAAATGTAAACAAAGAAAGAAAATTGATATTGTTTATTTTTACAGGGATACATTTTTTTTTTTAATATTTTTTTTTTCCTTTTGTTTATCCTCCAGCTTTGTACATCAAATTCTGTTGCTTGAAATAAAGAATTATTTTAAGGAAAACTGTGGTACAGTAATTAAGAGTCTTACAATTTTGAAGGAATAAACTTGTCTTTAAAAATGATATTGAAAAAAATAAAAGGTTTAAATTTGAAAAGTTTCTCTTAAAAAAATGTTTTAACAAATTTAAGGAGACATAAATTGAAAAATTTCTTTGAATTGAAATATTTGTCCAACAAATGTTTGTAACTATTTAAGAGTATAAAATTATATTACCGATTTGATCAACACCTAATTTTAGAAATAAATCTGCCATTTTTCGTCTGTTAAAAAAAATGGCAAAGATGAAAAGGTCTCTCTCTGGGTATTCAAAGTCAAATGTCAGATCTTTTCTACTTTTAATCTGTCCTGAAGCAACTTCAGATTCTGAAAAAGTGTAAATTTGTAAAACAATTTTAACAAATAAGTAAGTTCTTAACAAATTAAATAAATTCACACACTAATCGCTCACAATAAACAATTAGTTTAGTGTGGGCTCATAAGCCCTATCTAGGTTTTTATATAATTAGACTGATGTTTAAAAAAATTAAAAATTTAAATAAAAAAGTAATAAAAGATTATGACTAGAACTGTTTTAGAAGGTCAAGAATTTGGATGATGATACATAAATAAATCATATTCTTTTCAGTCTTAAATCTTTCACAACATAAATAATAATTACATCACATTTTCTGGTTCAAACTTTTTGGTATGAGTGGTAAACTAAAAGGTGTGTAAGACTCGCACAGAATCATACTGTGAACGATATTTCTCATTTAGTACCCTCAAACAATGGAATTCTCTTCCACTACACATTGGCAATATACCCACCATCACAACCTTCAAAACTGCACACAAAACACATCTCTTTAAACTCTACTATCCTGATTGATTCCCTCCTCTGACAGATAAAAATTCTGCTGGATAACAATTCATGGCTTGACATGTAAATATTTCTTGAATGTGTGTAGAGAATTTACATTTGTTTTTTTTTTTTTTTTGTTTAATTCATGTTAATTTTTAAGATCATGTTTATGTTTGTTAAATTGTATGCACAGCGTGGTGAGCCCAGCCCTAAGCTGGTATTCTACGCAATATAAAACCACCACTAATAATAATAATAATAAATAATATTGCAGTACTTCTGATCCTTCTGAATATTTGATGGGACAAAGTATAATCGATGACAGCATTTGAACATTTCCTTTAACGTTAATTGAATCTTGAGTAAACTTAGCTAAGGAAACTAACTCAAAAACAAAAGAAATGGTTGTTGATTTCAGGAGGGGGAAACACCTGATTACAGATCTCAACATAAAGAATCAAAGTGTAGAGAAAGTAGAGGCATATAAGTACTAATAGGTGTCACCATTAATATTAAGCTAACATGGCATGAGCACGGCCAAAGCCTGTATAAGAAATTCAACCAAAGACTGTTCTACCTCAAAAAACTGTACAATTTTGGCGTAAACAAGCAAGTCGTTAACTTATTCTACAGTGCAACTATTGGAAGCCTGCTTAATTTCAGTATTACCTGCTAGTGTGGGAATTCAACGTCTGATATTAAACACTGCATAAACTGACTAATCAAGAAAGCTAGAAACGTAACACAAACTAAACATCCTTCACTTGAAGAACTATTTGAAGAAAGATGTTTATGCAAAACTAAACACATTTTGGATGATACATCCCACCCTCTTCATCCTAGATACTTAGGATCGGGCCGTTCGGGACGAATTCTTTCCATCAGCGCTAGGACTGACCGATATAAAAATTCTTTTGTTCCCCAATCTGTACGAATTTACCGGCATGCTTCCTCTGAAGTCACACATCTGAATGAGAACTAATAAGTCCCCGATTTTGCTAAGAGAACTCACTGAATGGCTGTTTGAAATAATTAATTATAAATGTCTTGTGTTCAAATTGTTTTATTTTTGTGCTGAAAATGTATAATGCAATCAAAAAACGTTTCCATTTATTTGGATCAATAAAAGAATCTTATCTTATCTTATCTTAACTAAGGTCATAAAAACATGATTCGCAAGCCACCAAAGGGTAAAGAGCACTAAGGCTAAATAAGCATTTCTCTACTTAAAATCATGAAGGATAATATATAAATAAATATAAAACCATTGTTTAAGCCTCTCTATGATGATGTTTTTATGTTTCCTTGGCGCCATCCTATCTCAAAGCACTGATGACGCCTTATGTACCCACTAGACAGCTCCACTCATCCGATAGTGGCAAAATATCAATAACGCGTGTTCGCCTTGAGACTTACGAAAGGCTCACTTTTGCATTTGCTGGCCCAACAATTTGGAACGCCCTTCCTGTCGTTCTGAGAAACATTCAGACACTGGAGTTCTTTAAAACCGATTTAAAAACACATCTATTTTGCAAACACCTTCTGGGGTGATGTTATCTACCATCTTTTACCAGTTAATGTATATTGGCTTGTGTTGCTTATGGTTGAAATGGGGTGAAAGACTTTGACTTGGTAAGCTCGTATGTAGTTTTTTTTTACTGTTGCGTCTGTTTTTAAATGTGGTAAATTTTAGATTGTTTTTATTTCTCTTTTTAATATGGTTGACTTTGTAACCCGCTTCGAGCTTTTGGGGAGGAAGCATATTTTTCAAATAAACTTTATTATTATTATTATTATTATTTATTTTTAAACACTGTATCTTGAGTGTATTATATTTATAATGCACTAATATATCAATATTTTGATAAAATTAACTACATATATAATATTAAATTAAAACAAATAGTGGTGCTCTATCTATAACCTTTTTTCAAAACTCTGTAAAGTAGGCTATAATTCATCATTAAGCATTTTGTTGAAATAACAATTTTGAAAGGTTTCTCCAATTGAATTTTAAGAGACTGGAACAAATTGAATCCACTGAAGACTAAACAAACCATTTTACCAATTCAACTCCAGTGTTGTAAGTCGAGATATCTTGTTAGGGTTTTCAAAATAATACAAATGTTTGAGGTTGATAGAGATATAAAAATAGTACAATAGCAAGGGAATATATTTGCTTTCCTTTTATTAAAATAATATGTTGTTAGCATTGTTAGTGTCCCAAAGACAGTGGCGTAGCTAGGGATTTGGGGGCACGGGGGGAGGGGGGCTTGGCCTTTTTAGGGGCCCTGCATTTTGACATTTGAATTTATGACATGAGATAATGTACTTAATAAATATGTAAGTCTAAATTCAAATTGGTACAGTATATCAGTAAAATTAAGACAAAAATAATCATTAAGACTCTTTTAATGAAAAATACCGTTTTTTTTTTTGTGAGATAATGCACAAGTGAATAGCAAGATACATGGCAGCGGCGTAATATTTAATATTTAATGTAAAAAAAATTTCTGACACTCCTTTGGGGGCCCCCTTCAAGTAGGGGCCCGGGCGACTTTCGAATTTGGACCCTCTCCCTTAGCTCCACCACTGCCCAAAGAGAAGTAAAAAATTAGCAATTCACATCTAAGAAGAAATTTTTATGTTCACAGTAAACTATAGGCCAAGATATTGAAATATTGAAGAAAAAATATATTATTTGAAATAGAAGAACACACAATCACAAATTAAAAAAAAAATTGCAAGAAAGACTAGGATAATACTTTGAAAAGAAAAAAGTGTTAGTCTTATTATTATGACTGTGAATTTACTAGGTCATATCGTGGTTACCACTGGTTGACTAAGTATAAGACATTTGCGTAATAGTCAAGAAACCATTTTCGACATCTGGGTTTTGCATACCTACCTCATTAATTGAGTTTTTAATCAAAGTTTCATGGATAACTATTCATATATCCCCCAAAATATATAAAAATTATTTTAAAGATTTTTTTATATTTAAAAAACAAAAAAACAACAATAGACTAGTCAAAACATTGTGTTGCTACTTAGAAAACATACCACATATATATAATGGATAAAATAATTTAGTATAGCTTTTTTGAAAACTTACAATAAAAATTTCTATTTAGAAAGCAGTAATTGCTAGCATTTTTAATTAAAATAATACCTTTAGATTTAGCTGAAATAAGAGAACATATCTTTACTTATCATCACATGCAGAGAAAAACTTTTAAAAATAATAATAGCTCACTCATGCAGAATATCTGCCCACTTTCTAAAATGTACACAATGACAATAATACAACAAAAAAAAACAGCTGTAGTTTGATTAAAATAACTATAGATGCCTACATTAAACACAATAATAACACTGCACCAATTCCAGTGATTTCTTCATGGCTGTCATCACAGTAAATGTATTACTAATGTACTAAAAAGCACTCTTAAAGTACAGCACAAAAGATGCAAAGGTCACAGGGACGCAAAGGACACTGGGGATCTATCCTCAACTTCTCTTTATGAACAGCATGCATTTAAAGTAGACTATAACTAAATAACACACCCACAAACTCTTATAAATTTAAATAATTAGCATATTTAAATAATTTCTAATTTAGAAAGCAGGGTATAAATAAATTCTGTTTTGGTTAAAATATGATACATAAGATTATCATTTAAGTCAGCAGGTTAAAACTAGTTGATTTAAGCTATAGGTATATTTTTTATAATATTGTTAACCACAATTTAAAAAAAAATTACCATTTTATTGTCCTAGCTAGATAGGATGTCACAGAATTAGTTATTAATATTTCTTATTAGTTAAAACTTTTTCTATGGTAGTCTTTAATGCATATATTTTATAATAATTTTGAAGAAGTTTTAAATTAAATAAAAGTTTTAATGTTCCATATGATTAATAATTAAAAACATAATAAAATTCAGATATTTAGTAGTCAGAAAAATTATTTTTTTATGTTTAACCCTTATTCATAAATAATTTATGTTTAATTTGCTCATTAGTAAGGTGACAATAAGGTAGATGATAAAATTATCTTTAAAGAAGTTTAATTTTATTGATTTTTTTCTGTTTGTCAGTTTTGAGAGCTCAATTATTGCAGTCTGCACAAAGACATATAAATAACTTATTTGTTCTCCAAAAATATTATGTTAAAAATGTAATGTGACTCATTAATAAGATGGTGCCTCCCCCATTTTCTGTATCATAAATAAATTTTATACTTACATGGTTTTACATTTAGTGATGCCTCATTTTCAGACCCCTTCTGTTCCTCACTTTCCACCAAATATTTCTTGTCTGGAACATAAAAATTTTTTTTTTAAATATTTTGATTTTATCAGCAAAAACTTATTAAAAAAGAAATATGGCCTTTTCTCAAAGCATATGGTCCATCTGATTATATTTTAACTAAAATTTATTAATTTTATTCCTCTGATTCTAATTACTAAGATGGGGTTTTAAATATCATTTTCCTCACTTAGCTTATTTTATCACATTTTCAAGAATAAAAGTTTATCCTCTATCAATTTTAGAAAAAAAATTTTTTTTCATATTATTAAAGAATAAAATATTTTTTAGTTATAAAAATAAAAATAGTCAAAGGTTTACCTGCATAAAAATCAAAAGATTCATCATCGAGCAGGCGAATAATGACTTTATTTATACTTTGCAATAAAACAGACACTTTTGTCTTATCATCATCATAAGACTGGCATGTGAAGTATGAAAGCCAGCTTTGCTGTATTAAATATTACAAAGTAAGATCACTCAATAAACTACACAAATTCATTAAACATCATAGATAAGTCTCTACTGCTTTGTCCCTTTCTATTTGCTTAGAGAAAGCACTGTTGGCAATTAAAAATGTATTTTCTACATGTCAGTATAATATTCTTCATTTTCCACAACCACATGATTTTTGTGTTTCTGCAGATATGAATTAGGCTTCCAACTCTTGAGTAGAGCTATATAATATGTGTCACAAATAAATTAAAATTGCAAAAATAGATTTCTCACAAACATTTAAAAAGATTATTTTTTTAAAAAGAAATAAAAAGCAAGTGGTTGACTTAAGTTTTTTTTTTGAGTACTTTTTCCTAAGTCAGTTACCCCTCAACCCAAATATTTATCTGGTTTCATTTTAATTAAATAAACGTGGAAAAATTTATCAAAATATAGCATCGAAATTGAACAAATACCTAATCGACAATAATAAACATTTTTATTTCCGTACAATTCTTGCGTAAAATAATACTAATAAGACTCTGGTGTTATTGTGAAATGCAAATGGATACATCATGATTTATTCATTACCTCTTCATAAGCAGTTAAGTTCTTAAGAATTGATGCTTCACTCACATCTGATTCAAGACACTGCAAACAAAAATATGCAAACAAATTTCAGATAAAAATAAATTATTTGCTTACAGTATATCACAAAGTAGACAAGTAGACTATAAATAAGGTAAACAGCTCTTCATGTGAAGGCTTCTCTAAGAAAAAAAAAAAACTGAAAATTTTCCAGCACAATTTAGGGAGATTTTTGCTTTTCACCCAAAGGAAATGAAAAAGATCGCCCATTTTACTTACTTCGAAATAGAGTTTCCACAAAGTTTTAATTTTTAGAAATTTTTTGATATCCACACCATTGTCCAAAAACAGTTGAACAAAGTCTGTTTTGTCTTGTACCAGTGCAGTAAACATTTCTTCATGTAAGTCCCCTAATTGATCCTAAATTAAATAGATAAACAGAATAAATCATATAAAAAAATGTTGGAATTTATAATTAATTTTTTAAAATATTACCTAGGTTATGTCAAAACAAAATATTAACAGGCACACTAATTTTGCTTATGATTTTAGCATTTTTATTTCCTGTTGATATAAATAAATGTACACCTACTTTGATGGTTGTACAGTGACTAAGAAAAAGACAAGAGCTTTCATTGTATAATAAAAAATAGATGAAAGGTAGAATTTTATACCTTTAATTTTTTTCTATTCTCTGAAGTGAATATTTGTTGTCTTGCAATGTCACATCTGTTCCAAGCCAGTGCAAGATTAAGTTGTGATTTGCAGTCTGACTTGTTGGCTGACAAAGTTTTTTATAAATAATTGTTGTATACAAAATTTTTATTATTATGAAAAAAAAACACACATTCCCTATTATGAGTTATTCAATATTTATTTATTATTTGATAACTTTTATTAGTCTAATTAATTTATGTGAACACATTCAACAAACTTTTATATGATTTTTAATGTTTAATATATTCATAATTTTACTTAATAATACAATAATAATATAAATGATTGTCTTAGCTAAAATTTTAAAATATAATTGAATAGGCTGAATACAGTATTAGACAATAGTATTAGTCTCAGGTATAATAAAAAGTCATGAGGCAGTATAATCCTGATTATACAGTTACAGTATAAACTATTTATTATATGATTCAATCTTACCTTTCAACAAGGCACACAAAATTTCCCTGTCAATATCTTTCACTGATTCAGACTTCTCCAAATCAAAAACACTTATCTGGATGACAATTCAAGGGAAACATTTAACTAGTTCTCTTGTCTTTAAATTAGCTTTTAAAAATAATTAATAAAATCTCAATGCAGTTATTTAATTTTTAACAGCTGTTACAATATGTCCTAAAACTTAGCCAGTATGTAATAAAGAATAGGTAGGCCTATGTAAAACATATTGAGACACTTAAGGAAAAATGCATTTTTGCTCCATTAAAACACAAGTCAAATCAATAGAAGTCTCATATGAAAAGTAATCAATAATAATAGTTTTTTTAAAAGAGTAAACATTTATGGAGTTACAAAATATGTGCTCAAACATAGTAAAAAATATTTTTTTAATAAAAATATCCTGTTAAAATTAAGCATTGTAACAAAAATTTATTTTTTTTTGTTTAAGAGGTGTTATTCTAGTGCTACATTTATTATTATTATCATCTGATATTTCTCAGTTAGAAATTAATTGCATAGTAACTAACTCTGAATGCCCTTGTTTCACTAACTTTCAACAAAGATAGAACCCAATTAATGAAAATGTAATCAAAATCAACCAAAAAATCTTACTAATATTTCTGAATCATCCTTATTAAATTTTTTATTACAACTCAAAGGTAGTGCAATTAAGAAGAATCCATATTATAAAAATGAGAATGTCTTATTGTTTATAATTTCCAAAATATAATTCTAAACAAAGGTAAATCAGCATATATTTTTTATAATTTTTTTAACATAAAATATATTTTCCAGTTTATAAAAATCTTCTCTCAATACTAGGCTACGGTACCTAATATTAAAAAAAAATAATTTTTAAACAATCTTTTTGTTGTTAATTTCTAAAATGTTTTCAAACATTTCAAATTTTTTATGTTATTTTATTATATTTTTTTGAATGATTAAAAAAAAAACTTACCAAATTGTGTTTTTCAAGACACTTTTTCACTATGTTCACAACAGAAATTTGTTCTTTTGCCTTCTCAAAGGCTTTTTTTACTTGTTCTTCAATTTTCTTATCAAAGTCATCAGTATAAGTTAATTTATTATTCCTGCAGAAAAATACAAATAAAATTGAGGTATAAAAATAAAACTGAGAAAGACATATAAGCCATTGAAACATGATCAAAGATGTTCAAAATTCTTTATACCTATAACAACTTTTCATTGCCTCTTCATAGGCATATGCCAAAAAATCAGCTGCTCTGCCAGATCCCTTTACAATGACTGCTGGAGTTCCTTTCTCTAAAGATTTTTGTACTGTCTCCATGGTGCCAGGTCCGCCTTCAACAACAACCAGTACAACTGGAATTTTTATACCTAGGTAAAATTTTACAATTAACAGTAATTGTAGTTTTAATTTAAAATAAAATAAATCTTAAGGATAAATATATAGGCCTATAATAATATTTGTGAAACAAATTAATTTCTTCAGATGTTTTTGTTTGAGTAAAGTAATTTAAAAAAATTCTATTAGAGTTCCAGACCATATTCACACATCATACAATTATTTTGAATAAATAAATTTATTAAACACTTAAATAGATCAATAATTATTTGAATTATTAATATCAACAGGCTAACCAAAAACAGATTACCATCTGATTCAATGTCAGATATAAATTTCTCTAGAGCTGAACGGAACTCAATCTCAATCCCAAACTTGCCCTCTGTGCCATCATCAACAAGGAGGAAATGGGTGTGGTTGGGGTCAAGGTGGGCCCGTTTTTCTTGTAACTCTTCATTGTCATAAGTTGCAGGCCAAAATCCATTTTTCTGCATCTTTTGACAAGAAAGATGAAATATTTCCTTAAATATCCACACATTGATAACCATTAGTGTTGAACTGTATTTAAAGTAAATTATAGTGCAGTTATCCTTGTACAGCTCCCTGGGCAGTGGGGGTTGCAACGCAACGCCATCTCCGGAGAGGAAGCAAAGCTGTTCCAACCCTATGTCCCGGCCGTAAGACTCAATGGGCAAGGGGGGCTGTGACGCAAAACTGTCCTCTCATGAGTGGAAGAAACCTGCCCTAAACCCCGTTACTCAAGGCCGAGTTGCATGGCCGGAGTCCCCAGGGACTACTGGGCTATGTTTCACGGCCAAAGGTCATAAGAGATAGAATCTCGACCTCCGAGTATTGATCTTTATTAGTGCAGTAATCCAGTAACAATTACCATAAGTCTTGTATCAATTATTAATTATTCATTGAGCAATCAACACAGTGATCCAGATTATTTTCCCCAGCACCTCATGGTATCCATCCCTAAGATGTTTCTACACGTTTTCTATCTTGCATAAAGGTTTGAATCCTTCCAGTAAAGAATCTTTAAAGCATAATCCATTTAAGTTAAGTACACTTAGAAAGCTCAGCTGTTATTAGGAATGTAGAAAGAGAGAAACCCGGCCCTCCAATTTAACAAAAGCAAATAACTAGGAAATATATAAATATACCTTTAGAAATTATTCTGATTTAATGTAAAAATCAATTTGTCTATTATTATAAATGAAAATATATTGTTTGCAATGTAACCATATTGTGATGAAAATGATAACCTAAAAAAATAGTAGATTTAAATTTAGGTTGTGTTTAAAAAATAAAAATAATTAAAAATTGTTTTAAATATACATATACATTAGCTCAAACAAACTTACCCAATTTCAATAAAATATAATAAATTCACATCTGCTTCATTGTTACATTTTTATGAAATATCCATCAAATGTAACATATTGCCAGTATCTTTTTCTAATGTAGCATATTTATCCCAAATGAATTCAATGTAAAATTTGTACCAAATATCAATGAAATGTAACATTTCATTTAGTTACCCCACTTCCATCCAATGCCTTTTTACTCCCCACAGCTCCCCATGAGACTATGCCTAGGGCCACGCATTCATCATCAGTGCTGCTGCCATGTATTGTCATGTGATCCTTTACTGCTTCACCAACAAACTCCATCACACCAGATTTGGTCCCCCCTGTTATGATCCAGGCACCTAAATAAATGTGTATGAAAATGTATTTATCAAGAACTTTTTTTATTCTCTAAATGTCTTTACATATCTAATTATATTATTCCTAGATATTAAAAAACACATTTATACTTTAAAGAGAAGTTTACTTCATTCTCTAAATCAGTGTTCCCTAAATGACTGTCTGTGGACCAGCACCAGTATGCGAGCCTTACGTTCCCAGTCAACACAACAAATAAAATGACAATAGAAATAATAAATCTTCCACCTGACCCTGTTGCTATTTTGAGACTTTTCCACCAGTCTGCCAAACTTAAAAGTTTGGGAAATTATAAGTTTAATCCTTTTCTAAATAACTAGGCACTAGGCTGATTTTTTTTTTTTTAAATGATATGGATCTACCGGATTTATAACTGGTTAATACAACTAAATATATTGCTTTTGATACTTACCTGTGTTAACAGCTGATCCTACAAGTCCTTGCTTGAGAAGTGAGCTAAGTCTTGGCTTCAATTCAAATTTTTGAGCCCCGCCAGTAACAGATATGAGAAGCCTTGGTGGTGGCATTTTCCAGTATTGGATCATCAGTTCCCAAACAACAAGACGTTCTGTTTTATGGCATATTCTTGCATACTATATTTAAAAAATCAAAACAACTTACATGTTTCCTTATGATTAAAAATTGTGAAATAGTGTATTTACTACTGAGCATTACTTGACTTTGATAAAATGAACAGATTTTTTTTTTTTTTAAATGCTCAAAATATTTTTTCTTCTTCTGAAAATGTATTTGCATTTATTGAAAATAATTGAAAATATGAACATAATGCTGTTTTTTTTAAATGTTACTGTAATTTCTTTACTTACCAGAGGTGTGGTCATACTGCTGCCAAAACCACTGAATTGTATTTGACCAAATGAATCACATGGTTTCTTTATTGTGTGTTGCTCTTTATCCCATTTGACTGCTCCAACTCCCATTTGCACACTTTTACTATGCTCTTTTACTGATCTGCCACATTGACATATGTCTTTTGTTCTACAAATAATAATTATTATATGATTATAAGAGTAACTTAAGATATGAGATAACACTAACAGTAGCTTTTCATATACAACAGATGGAAATGAGATTGACCTGGGCATCGCTTAGTTATTTCATTTAAAAGATGTGACAGTCACGTTGAAAGTAATTAGGAAGTTAAGATAATGGTAAAGGAAGGTGGCTACTTCCTTGGAAATGACAAAAGGAAAATCTTTAAAGAAGCCATTATGAGCATTTTGTAAGTCAAGAGGCAAGAATAGCCAAGAGACACCAGAGACCACAACAAAGATGACAAATGCAACAACTTTCAAGAAGGGAACATGATGGGAGTGTAGTTTTTCAAGCTTGGCTGAAGCAACAACTGCACAAATTCCATTTTTCCACAAATTCAAAATTTGAAAAGTTAAACTCATATCTTACAGGAATGTGGGAATTTCAAAACCATGAAAGAAGAATTCTGGTCCCACCAATCACAATTGCTTGATTAAAAACTCTATGGACTTAAGTCTCTAGTTAACTGTTTCTTTCATTTTGTTATTTAGAGTGGACAAATATATGAATAAAAAAGTACGCTACACAATTTATTTCAAAAAGTTGTAAAAAATACTGAGATAACTGTATTTTGTGACAACAACAGCATTTCCTTACTCTTCCTCTATTATTAATTTGCAATCTCTCTGGAAAATGTTGCTTTTAATGAATGAAGCAGTTTCATCCTGAAAAGAAGAAAAAATGAAATGGTATATTTAAAACAATTGACAGTGATTCAAAACACAGAACTTCCCATTAAATAATTTCCAAATATTTAAATAAAAACTATGCTTTGTGGACTAAGTTAATTTACACATGTTAATTATTAAAATATGCTTACAAATAAACTTAAAATTAGATGGTAGAAAATATTTGCATTTAGTAGTTACCTGACTTATGAAATGGTCACTTTCTTTATTCAAATTCATGTTCAAAGTATTTATTTGTCTAATTTGTCTGTGTAGTTTTTCATTAGAATTATTAATTCCCCTTTCAGGCAACATTTCAACAATGTCCCTTTCAATTGAATTGATTTCTGTGAATGGCTTTTCAGGGACAGATGTCGCTGATAAAAGACATCCTAAAGATGCTGGACCCTTCGGTATGCCTACATTTTTCTCCTTTTCATTTTTCAATCCATTAGAATTGTCAAGGACAAATAAATTTTCATTTGCATCAGCTTTGGATGAATGTAAGCTATTGCTAGCACTTTCAGGTGATGTGTCTGTTCTATAGATTATTTTCCACTCTTTTGTTTTCCCTCTGTATTTAAATTTAAAATTTTCATCATCCATATCCTTATCTATTGTAAACTTTTTAGAACAATCGTCCTCTTCTTGTCATATCTACCTGAAAATATATTTTTTGTAATTACATCAACTAATACTAATATCTTTAACGGCCTTAATTAAATTTCTATTTTCTTTAGTTCATTGATACTAAATAAAAGACACATACAACAGAACTTTCATTGTCAAATTTTCGAGAAGGCCTACAAATAAATAATGAGCTTAATTGAGAATCTTCTTGTTTACAATGAATGATTTCATGCAAAATGACTAATCAGAAGAAATCTTGTAAATATACTTTTTTGAAACTTAGATCAAGTATAATTAATACTCAAGTAATCAGTTTTGACAATTGTTAAGGTCTTGTCTTTCAAATATAAGCCTCATACTTAATGCCTTGAAAAATCATCCCTTATAACACGTTTATCACTTGACTGAGGATGTTTTTAGAGACACAACTCTCACAGAAGATTAATAAGACATGAATGATTTGTGTCAATATAACAATATATGTTAAGCTTTAATAATAATTTTACGTAATAAGCACGAAAAACTTTTCGGCACGTGCATTCATCAGTATAACAACAAAACATTTAAATATTATGTACAAATTAAATTTAAATAACATATTTATACATATTATACCCTACCTAAAAAAAGATACAAATAGGAGTGGGTGCATAAACCAGACAGAAACAAAGTAAAAAAGAATGGAAAGGAAGTGATTTGAATACTTGTGTATTATGTAAAATTATTATTAAAGCTTAACATATATTGTCATATTGACAAAAAATGTTTGTGTCTTATTAATCTGTTTTAAAGTTTTATTGCAGTTGCACACTCCTACTATAATTACTCTCACAGAACGTTGAATAAAGGACAATTACTAAAAATTACTTTTTGTGGTTCATCAATGCCTGGCAAGAAAGTTGAACCACTTTCAAACGACAAGCCTCAGGAAAATCCCCAACAAAATATGGTAAGACAGGAACTCAGGTGCCAAGGTACTCACACACTAACTCTGCAGTATCTTTATCATTTTAATGCAGTCCCAGCTTTGTTTGGTGTGACATGTTGTAAGAATGTTAGATGACCGCTTGCCCAAAATAATATAATATAAATTTAAAGCTTAATTAATAATATCAAAGGCATCTGTCATCCTAAATCTAAGCTCTTTCATTTAGTGGATTAGGCTACTAATACTACTACTTTAACTTATTATTATTAATTAGTAATTATAAGTCATCTCTTCTAACTTTCCTCACTCAAACCATAAGCCATAAGTAAGAAGACACTTTTACTTTTAGACCTAAGACCCTAAATTAAGACAAGTTCTATTGAGGCCTACGCTTAGGCCTCAGCCCTTGTCACCTAGCCCTAAGTGTAGGCACTTCCCTATCTCCCGGAAACACCAAATTACGTTACACAGACCTCCTATTTTTATTTTACTGAGGGTATCATTGCTTTGCCTTATATAGTCAATTTTCAGCATAATAATAAGTTCTAACTTAAAGCATAGACCCTCATCTTACTCGTTCTTACTTGGCTAAGTGAGCCTTGGCCTAGGCCAGTGTTGGGAAATTGCGGCTCGTGAGCCACGTGTGGCTTGGCCAGTCGGTCACAAATCGGTTTTGACTCCAAAAAACATGGTTCTTGAAAACCTAACCTGAAACCTAAATCATCTAAATCTATCCCTAAACCTAACCTGAACCCTAAACTTATCCCTAACCTGGGCTTGGACCCTATCAGTGATAGTATCAATATCATTAACATTATCATTAAAGGGAACCAGGGTTTTGACCCTATCCGAACCAGGGTGACTATGACTATGACGTCAGGGTGCTATCTCTCCAATTAGCCAAAAGTTTTAATCATCCTGATTTTTGGCTCTTTTGACTAATGAGTTTGCCGACCACTGGCCTAGGCCTAGGCCAACTAACTACGTATTACTAAGTCTAAGTTATTATAAGTCTAACTCTAACTAAGCCTAAGACTAAGGACTAAGACTAAGTCCGTTGTGGTTTTGCGTGGCGGTTGTAAATTAGGTCTACGTCTTATTTTGAAACAACGGCTAAAATTATATTATTTGCTTAGATTACCGTTTCTGTTTTTAACACATGCAAATGATATTCCGGCCTTCTTTAATCTTTATCGAAAAGAACAACCCCAAAACATTACCATTAACAACAGGGAATCTAGTTTTTGTTTACATTAGATATCCGCCATCTTGATACTAGTAAACAGTTAGTGTTTTTTTGGTTACGCAAATCACCGAGGTGAAGAATAAATGGGGAATTATTTTCTCTTATAAAATTCTTACAATTAATTTTGAAACATAAAAAGAAATGTTACTTTAGACTAAAAATTCACAGGATTCTTTACTGATATAGTAATGTAAAGTTTATTATTTCCCTATTGTTACTCCAACTTCAATTCTTTCTGTCACCTCCATTATGTTACCATTACCATTTCTAACAAAATTGACAAAATATAATTCACTTTAATTTAAATTAGTATTAGAGGTGTTATGAAGATGAAAATTAATAAAAGTGTACTTAAGCTGGAGGTCGGTACTAAAGCAATTAACAAGAAATCATGCCAAAAACATTAAATGGGGGATTCCTTTTTTAAGAAGTTGTTTATTATTCTAAGACTAATGAATGGTTTTGGGGCGTCTCTAGAAAGATAACACAATATAACGCACCCACCCGCAAAAATAAAATAAAATAAATACCAACACACATCCACACAACCCAAACGCTTTCCCATACCACATCTCCCTTAACTATAGGCCCATATAACATAGCCTACCTCACAAAACTGCAGTATCCCAACCCCACCAAAGACAAAACAAAAAACGTCCATTTTATCTGACCCTCTAAACTGGCATATTCTGCTTTACAATTCAGTCACAGCTTGAAACATGAAAAAACAACCTCCCTTTCACCTACCCTCTACCCTCGGGCAGGGGCGTCATTTCAGGTTTTTTCAAGGGGAGAGGGGGGCAAAAACCAAAACTAGCTAGGGTTATTAAGTTGTTTATTACTGGAGGCCCACAGTACATAGCAATTTAAATAAAACCTGCATTCAAAGGAGGGGGGTGGGGCAATGCCCCACCTGCCCTACCCAAATTACGTTCATGCCCTCCGGTCCATCTCCCAAGTCATCATCCTATATCATTCAACATCAACAATGCCCTCTCCACTCCTTTCATACCACGCCAACCACCCCGTCAAGCCCATCCTAAACTCCCCAATACCCTCCCTTATTGTACCCAACTCTCCTCCCCTCATGTACCGGTATCCTTATATCTCTCACTCATTGAGTCATGCCATCTTACTATCATTGGAAATACTTGACTTTACCGTCATCTATTACAGCATTTAACACTATCCAACCAAACCTTATGATTAAAAAAGCTTACTTCATTAGGTGTAAATTCCAATATTCAAGCGTGTGTACTGAATGTTTTAACAAATCGCCCACATCTTGTCAAGGTGAATAACTAAATATCATTAACTAGAGAAATAACTACCGGAATGCCACAAGGTTACGTTCTCTCCCCTGTCCTATATGCATGGGCGCCCGCAGGGGGGGGGGGAAGGGGGTACTTGCCCCCCCCCCCCGAATTGGTTGGATAAAAAAAATTTAAAAAAAAAAAAACAAAAAAATAATTAAAGAAAAAAAAAAAAAAAAGAAAA